CCGCCTCCCGCCGCCCCCCCGCCAGCTGGCTCCCGAACCTCAGTCGGCGCCGAGCATCCCGCTGCCCCGGACCCTCCCGCGGGCACGCACCGGGCTCAAGTCAGGTAAGGGGGGCCTCCCCCAACGGGTACGGGGGCGGGAACCAGAGACCCAGAGACGGAGATAAAGAGACACAGAACCACACAGAGACAGAGGCACAGCTGGGGAGAAAGAGCGAGACAGACACAAAGACACACAAGAGGCGCCTAGAACCACCGAGACAGACCCCAGGAAGCGGAGATACGACCACAGGGACAGGGGGACACATAGAGACAGACTGAGAAAGAAAAGAGACATACAAGAGACACAGAGTTTCAGAGATGGAGACGCACAGAAAGACAGCTACACCGCGGTACAGCCAGCCACACAGAGAGGTGGGTATGCAGAGGCAGAGACACACATCCAGCAAGGAGCAGAGAGACCGAGTAAGACAGCCAGACACAGACACACACCTGGCCCAGAGAGACAGTCCCACAGAGGCACACCTAGGTACACAGCCTTGTACACCGAACCCACACATGTCTGCGCCAGGCCCTCCACAAAGTTCCCTCTGTGTGAGCTGGTGCCTCTGGAGGTCTCTTGGCTGGCTGGCTGGCTGGAGTCCTGGGAGAGAAGTGTGCTTCGACTGCACCAAAGCTGGTAACAGTCCCTATTCTTCTGGGCCTTGGGCTCCCTTGGTTCTACCCACTAACAGTGGTTTGAGGGCCAGAAGCTCAATGGGCAGAGCCAGGCCATGCCCACTGGTTCCAAGGCAAGTGATCTAAATGTGCCCATTCCAGCTTGCCCACACTGGACAAGCCATCCAGGACCCCAGACCCAGACCTGGGTCTGTGAGATATCTGAGTGTGCTGGTACCCAAAGCCCTGTCAGGGAGACTAGAGAGATGGGAAGCGGGTTTTCTTTGCTACCTCTCTCCTCTTAGACCTCACCCCACCTCACCTTCCTCATCACTTCCTTTGCTCTGTAACCCCCACAGGCTCGGGACTGCAGGTAGACATCTCCACTGCCTTGGAATCATTGAGTATACAACCAAGACAGCCTCGTTGGAAGGCCAGCCATACTGGAATCCAACCTCGGCATGGGCCTTGCCATCGAGGCAGCTCCACTGTCCGTGCTGGTCTGAGGGTGCTGCCCGACATGGGGGCAGCTATCTCCCAGGGGGCCCTCATTGCCATCGTCTGCAATGGCCTCGTAGGCCTCTTGCTGCTGCTGCTCTGGGTCATTCTCTGCTGGGCCTGCCACTCTCGCTCTGCTGACATCGACTCGCTCTCCGAATCCAGTCCCAACTCCAGCCCTGGCCCCTGTCCTGAAAAGGCACCACCACCCCAGAAGCCTAGTCATGAAGGCAGCTACCTGCTGCAGCCCTGAAGGTCTCTGGCTTAGCTCAGAGCCTGGAACCTAAGTCCACCCAACCCAGAGCCTGGAATCAGGATTCCAGAGTTCAGCCAGCCTGGTGTCCAGAACTCGGAGTTCAGCCTGCCTGGAGCTGGATCCAGAGCCCAGAGTCTAGCCAGCCTGGCTCCAGAAGGGGCTCGGGTGCCCTAGGGAGATAGGCCTGGGGTGGGGGTTCATGAGTTGGTGCTAGGGCCAGGACTGCCCTTTCCCTAAGATAAGCGCCTCTCGGCCCTCTAGGTTGGGGAAGCAAATTGGAACCCAAGGCAATAATGGGAGGGTGTCCAGGCTGGGCCCCTCCCCTGGTCCTCCCACTGTTGGCTGGATAATAAATGGAACTATGGCTCTACCCTGAGATTTTCTCCTCTTCCTGAGGGCCCTGTAATGGCAAAATTAAAGGTGTAGAGTGGGCTTCCAGACACAGGTTTATTTATGCAATGTAAGAGGACATAATGGTGGTGGGGAGATGAGACCTGGGTAAGGTATTGGGGCCTGAGGTGCAGGGGTAAGGTCACATGCAGTGTGCTAAGTCTGGGATTTGTACAAGTACTGGGATCAAGAAATGGGACGAGAACTGAGGCCAGGCCTCAGGTCCTGGTTTTCACTTCCCTCACCAGGTTCAGCC